ATCTCCTGACCTTGTGATCCGCCCGTCTCGGCCTCCCAAAGTGCTGGGATTACAGGCTTGAGCCACCGCGCCCGGCCTATTTATTTATTTTTGTAGCAGGGTCTCACAAGCTAGTCTTAAACTCCTGGCCTCAAGTGATCCTGCCTCAGCCTTTGATAAATATTTCTAAATAAAACGAACAAATGCGTTATTTGCGATTTCCTTTGTAGCCTAATAATTTGGTTAAGTTATATAAAAGGTAGTGTATTCTCACTTTTGTTATAAAGTTCTGTTTATATTTATTAACACCCAACATTTGTAGAGCTTACTAAGCATACAACACTTTTTTTGTTTTTTGTTTTTTTTCTTGAGACGGAGTCTCACTCTGTTACCCAGGCTGGAGTGCAGTGGTGTGATCTTGGCTCACTGCAAGCTTCGCCTCCCAGGTTCACACCATTCTCCTGCTTCAGCCATTCTCCTGCTTTGGCCTCCCAAAGTGCTCGGATTATAGGCATGAACCACCGCGCTTGGCCTCCAATACTGTTTTAAGCACTTACATACTTGTCAATTGATATTCATATCCTTTACAGCCTTTCTTATTTTTCCCAATTGACTTGTAATTTTCTGAGTACTTTGTATTAGAGTTCAGTTGGTTATATAACACACAGCATCTGTTTTTACTGACCTCAGTTTTGCTTTTTAGTGGATTACAGAATATATAATTTAACAACACCTCCACAGAAAGCATGGAGACAGAGTTAATGGCTTTGTTCTGACTGCTTAGCATTAACCATGTTTTGGTTCAGGATAATGGCCAGAGGACAAACAGTGCTCAGTTGCTATTCCTACCTATATGCTTCAGAGGTAGTATATTTGGGGGAGTTAAGAACAGAAACTCATTACTGGAACTGTATAAATTAGAAGTCAGTTTCCACCATTTACTGGCTGTGTGACTTTGAGCAAGTTATCTAAATTCTATGCCTATTTCCTCATCTGTAAATGGAAATAGTAATCTAATTTATAAGGGATTTGTGAAGATCAGATAACTTACTGCAACAATCAGCACTATATGCATGTTACCTGTTATTAAAAGTTTAGGTTTAGGCCAGGAGCAGTGGCTCATGCCTGTAATCTCAGCACTTTGGGAGGCCGAGGCAGGCAGATCACTGGAGGTGAAGAGTTCAAGACCAGTCTGGGCAACATGGTAAAACCCTGTCTCTACTAAAAATACAAAAGCTAGCTGGGTGTGGTGGTGTGTGTCTGTAATCCCAGCTACTCAGGAGGCTGAGGCACAAGAATCGCCTTAACCTAGGAGGCAGAGCTTGTAATGAGCCGAGATCACATCATTGCACTCCAGCCTGGGTGATGGAACAAGACTCTGTCTCAAAAAAAAAAAAAAAAAAAATCCATCTGTCTTCTAAGAGAATGAAAAAAGAAAAAGTCACTAAAAGAAAAAAAATACTATACCCTCAGAAGTTAAGAATTTGAAAGGGCCACTCAGTTTTAGATCTACTAAATTAAACTTGCATCTGGATATAATCCAAAGGACTGGCTAGGAGACTTACAATTAAAATTGCTGCTGGAACTTTAGGAACAAAACCACACAAATTGTTGCCAACATTGCTTTGGAGCCACATTCCATATGCTTCAGAGCAGTGCTACAGACAAGTGTGGACCATGCTGATCTGTATTGAGATAATAATGAGAATAAATGCTTGGAAACTGGTCGGGCACGGTGGCTCACACCTGTAATCCCAGCACTCTGGTAGGCCAAGACGGGTAGATTACTTGAGCTCAGGAGTTCGAGACCAGCCTGGCCAACATGGTGAAACCTCATCTCTACTAAAAATACCAAAATTAGCTGGGTGTGTTGGTGGCGCCTGTAATCCTAGCTACTTGGGAGGCTGAGACAGGAGAATCACTTGAACTCAGAAAGCAGAGTGAGCTGAGATTGCACCACCGCACTGCGGTGTGGGCGACAGAGACCTTTCCTCCAAAAAAAAAAAAAAAGCCGGGTGGGGTGCTCATGCCTATAATCCTAGCACTTTGGGAGGCCAGGGCAGGCGGATTGCCTGAACTCAGGAGTTTGAGACCAGTCTGGGCAACACAGTGAAACCCCATCTCTACTGAAAAACAAAAAATTAGCTGGGCATGGTGGTGTGTGCCTGTAGTCCCAGTTACTTGGGAGGCTGAGGCAGAATTGCTTGAACCTGTGAGGCAGAGGTTGCAGTGAGCCAAGATTGCACCACTGTACTCCAGCCTAGGTGACAGAGCAAGACTCCATCTCCAAAAAAAGAAAAGAAACTTTTATACCAATTTGGCATTGTCATGACATTTGTACTTTATACTAAAATATTGTTCTTCAATGGAATGGAAATAAAGCCTGGCACCTCATCACAGAAAAATTTAAGAAGACTGCCTAAGAACACATCTGTGGCCCTGTACCTATCAGTACTACACAGTGCCTGCTCACTTATTCTTGGTGGCAATCTTCTGGGTGTAGGGGAACAGGCAGTGACAACGGAGACAGACCAATGTTGCCTGCTCTGTTGTGCCCAGCTTTGTCCGCTCATACAATAATCAAATAAGGAGCAGTTATGATTAAGGAGTAGGTACTAATCCATAAATGCTGATGGGGCAGGAGCAAGGGTGGGTAGCGAAAGATTCAGGGAGAGCTTACTACTACTTTTAAAGTCCAGAAAGACTGAACCTCAAGAGTTTAACAGCAATGCTGAAAGTATTACAAGTTCCTTTTCATTAAAGGTTTTTGGAACCATCACATCCAAAAAGTATCAACCAGGCAGCCTCCTCCAAGGAATGCAGATCAGTGTGACAACAATTGTCAGTTATAAAAAGCCACCTTCACAGTAAGTCTACAACAAACAACTAAAAGGAGACAATGTAAACATCTAAAGAATTTGTATGCCGGATGTGGTGGCTCACACCTGTAATGCCAGCACTTTGGGAGGCTGAAAAGCAGGTGGATCACAAGGTCAGGAGTTCAAGACCCGCCTGGCCAACATAGTGAACCCTCGTCTCTACTAGAAATACAAAAATTAGACAGGCGTGGTGGCACGCATCTGTGATCCCAGCTACTCGGCAGGCTGAGGCAGGAGAATCACTTGAACCCGGGAGACGGAGGTAGCAATGAGCCGAGATCGCACCATTGCACTTCAGCCTGGGTGAAAGAGATTCAGTCTCAAAAAAAAAAAAAAAAAAAAAAAAAAA